TGGAGGAGGGGTGCCGACGGGGGCAGTCCCTGCGTGTTTGGTGTCCAACATGCTAGGCGCTTCGCTTGGTTTTGTTGGTTCGACACCCGGTATATCACTGCAGTCTGTGAGATTGTCCCTTCTCTTTGTCGCGATCGATTGAGGAGGAGATGAAAAGAGAGGAGGAACGCCGAGAAGCAGAAGAGAGCACTCGGATGGCTGCCGAGGAGCAGCGGCAGAAAGACGTTTGCCAGGCGCAGAAAGAAGAAGAGGAGCGACAGCGCATGGCGGAGGAGCAGCGCAGAGAAGAGGCCGTTGAGCTTCTTGTGTGTTCTGCATGACGGGTCCCGGGTAGGGTTGGCCCAGGCCCCCCGGTCCCCTGGTCCTTCGGTCCCTCCTCGAGTGGTCTCTGGTTCCTTGGTGCTGCGAGTCCTCAACCCCCTCCTCTTTTTTGGCCCTGCCGCGGATCGCCGGGTCGCGGGCCACAGGCTACGGCCCGTGAATAGTTGGGGCCAAATGAGGGGACGTGTTTAAGATCTGTGATATGTGATAAACCCGGGTGGCCAAATGCGGGCTCGTCCTTGCTAAGTGGGAGGGAAAAATGAGGGGGCGTGTTTAGGGTTTATGATGAGCCAGAATCGCCCAATAGGGGGAACGGGGCGTGTTTAAGATCTATTATGGGCCGGAATCGCCACATGAAGGGGCATGTTTGAGATATACTATGATGAACCAGAATCGCGAAATGGGGGGAGCGTTTAAGATGTATGATGAACCGGCATCACCAAATCAGGGGGCCACCGCCAGCGTAAGGAAAAATAACCCTTCGGCCTTGGGTGACTTGCCAGGAGCGACTGCGACAAGAGCAGCAGCACAGAGAAGCCGAAGAGATCGTGCGGATGGCCGCGGAAGAGCAACTGCAACGCGAACGTGTGCTGGCAGCAGAAGCACGGCGACAGATGGAGGAGGGGTGCCGACGGGGGCAGACCCTGTGTGTTTGGTATCCAACATGCTAGGCGCTTCGCTTGGTTTTGTTCGACACCCGGTATATCACTGCATTCTGTGAGATTGTCCCTTCTCTTTGTCGCGATCGATTGAGGAGGAGATGAAAAGAGAGGAGGAACGCCGAGAAGCAGAAGAGAGCACTCGGATGGCTGCCGAGGAGCAGCGGCA